GATCTAGGAGTGTTCATGAATACTCAGGTCAATTTTGGTGATCACGTAACGGCAAAAACCGCAAGAGGTAGGCGACAAATGGGGTGGATCTGGCGGACGTTCAGAACAAGAGAAGCGGAACCGATGATCACACTCTCAAGAGCCCTTGTAATACCAATTCTGGAATACTGCTGGCAGCTCTGGACCCCGTTCACACTCGGCGCAGTGCGGCAACTGGAAGGTGTCCAGCGAACCTTCACTTCCAGGATCAAAGGGATGGAAGAGTTGAACTACTGGGAGAGGTTGAGGCGCCTGGGTCTGTACTCACTGCAGAGGAAACGGGAGAGGTATGTCATTCTGTACACATGGAAAATGATAACCGGAATGGTGCCAAACTTCGAGAGCGAGACCTTCAGGATTTAGACATATCACAACGAGAGAAGGGGGAGACTGTGCAAGATCCCCCTATTACGTAACAGATCCGCAGTCAGATTTCAATCCCTGCGGGAAGGATCACTTTCCGTGGCAGGGCCAAGGCTGTTCAACGTCCTACCAAAGCATCTAAGAGAGGGGGAGTTCACCCTGGAGACCTTCAAGAGACAACTGGACGTTTTCCTGGGCACAATCCCAGATCGACCTCCCCTGCAACACTACCAGTGGCGAGAAGCAAGCAACAGCATCGTGCATCAGGTGGCCCAAATGAGGGCGGATGAACGATAATCAGAGGCGGCGATCCATCGTGGCCTGGGACTGCTATGTCCCAAACAAGTACCAAGATTACCAAGAACAAGTACCAAGATTACCGTCATCTCCACTCGACGGAAACCGCTGTGCTGAAGGTGCTTTCAGACATTCGGCGAGCAGTAAACGGTGGCGACATTGCGACACTAGCTTTACTCATGTCGGCCGCTTATGACACGGTCGATCACGCAACTTTATTGCGTCGACTTAAGTCATTCGATCGGCATGCGCGGTACAGTGCTGCTGCCGTCCGAGTCATATCTCAGCAATAGATTCCAATGCGTTCGACGCGGGAACTCTTCTTCTACGCCCTCGTTGGTCACTTGCGGCGTACCACAGGGAGCAGTTCTCGGCCCGATCCTCTTCTTGTTATATACTGTTGACGTATTGCATGTAATCGATTCACATAGTTTGAATCCGCAAATGTTCGCCGACGACACCCAAATTTATGGCTACTGTGCACCGGCTGATGCCACAGCGCTGTAGGGTCGACTGTCTGTCTGCATGGACTCCATCTCAGACTCCAACCGGCTCCAGCACAATGCATAAAAACCGCATTTATTTGGTTTGCTACTGCTCGGCGTCAGCATCAACTCCCGGCCAACACTGTTCGCGTGGGCAATGCGTTCGTCACACCTGCGTCTGCAGTTTGCAACCTGGGAATTCTGCTGGACTCGGAACTTTCTATAAACAATCCAAACCAAAGTCATGCACCACCGCTTTCTTTGGTTCTCTGCGACGAATACGTAGCATCAGCCGCTGTCTTTCGAGGCCGGTTCTCGAGGCCCTCGTGGTGTCGCTAGTTCTGACCACATTGGTCTATGGTAATGCCACACTTTATGGACTTCCGAACACGGCACTTAATAAACTGCAATCCGTAATGAACGCTGCAACGCTGCTGCTCAACTCAGTGAAGACCGATATTGCGCGGTCTTCACTGGCTGCGCATTCAGCAGCGCACGCAGTTCAAGGTCGTTTTTATGACGTTCCGATGCTTTAACGGTCTGGCGCCTCCTTATCTCACGGAATGTCTGCAGCGTGTGTCGGATCTGCCTTCTAGAAGACGACAACAGCGTCATAAACAGCGGACCTCGTCGTACCATCTCATCTACACGTCTATCTACCGTCAGCGACAGAGCGTTCCCCGCCGCTGCCGCCAGAACCTGGAACAGTCTGCCGGCTTCCGTAACTTCCGCTCCTTCGTTGCAGGTGTTTCGTCGACGCCCAAAGACGGAACTATTTCGTAGAGCCTTTGAATACAGGGCTTAGTCATTTTATCCGTTCCCATCAATTCTTCTGTCTATTTATTTTTCGCTTGCTAATAATCTTATGTGTGACGTGCCCTCGAAGTTCGTTTGAACTAGACGTAACGATAAATGCTTCGTAGAATAATAATAATAATATGTATCAATGTCGCACCACCACCGCGCAGTATGCACCACTGATGTACCATGACGCCCCACTGCCGCGCAGTATGCACCAATGACGCACCACCGCCGCGCAGTATGCGTCACTGAAGTGCCAACATATTATTATTTATTAATTTTTTGCAACATTCATAGCAAAATATTCAACTTCATTTCTTTCATTTTAGTTTGTACTTCATTTTAAATCTAATTTCTATTCCCTTCAATTATTTACTGATATATATTAATGCGTTCACGAAATGCTTCATAAATAACAAACTAATTTAACATCCATGTTATTTGTGCAGGTCCTGATGCTGATCGGCAGTGAGGTGGTCACGAACACCTACGCTAATGGGCGGACTGTGAGTATTGAAATTAATGCCAATTGTGGTCATTAACCTTTAATTAGCTTAGTATGGGGAAAATTTATTTTATCTACGAGTATTCCACATCCTCCTTGAAATTTTTTCTAATTTTAGGCCGCACGAGATAATTAAATGTCGACAACAGGTTTCGAAGAGTTTTATTGCCTCTCCCGTTGTTGCAATAACATTTATGTGGTAAAATACTTGACACGAGTCATATTATGTTATAAATTAGTCTTCTAACTTGCGGCAATACAGAAAAATTTGGTCAATATAATATAAATTTGAAGCGTCACATTGGTAGCGACATTCATAAAAAAATATAACTCAGTACTCACTGCAGTGAGTGACAGTTAGCGCATTTTCTCGTCGACGAAAACGTGAAGTCACAGACAGACGGACAGACAGACAGGCAGATGGACGGACGGACGGACGGACGGACGGACGGACATGACGAACAAAATAGGGCATTTTTTCCATATATGAGAACATGTGCCAAAAACGATTATTTTTTTATTTGTGAGGTTAAAAGCAGTTAGAGTGCCGCTTATTCTAACAGACAAGTTCCTGGTCATCAGTCACACTCGTCCTCAGGGTATGGTGGTGCCTGGGCTGGCGTCTCAGGCCTCCGACCCTCCGATGCAAGGCATGCATATGAGGATCAGCTCTTCTTCTTCAGCTCGTCCAGCAAGATCTGATATTCCATTCTTCTCTTCATCATCAGCAAACACGTTTCCATTAAGTATGGTGACAATCTCTTCCACCAGTGCAAGTAACTCACAAATGGTTACGACAAATTCCAATAGATACAAAAAGCTTGTCTCTCAATTTTCGAAGAGAGCGGATACAGCAAGCCCCTTCAGGCCCCAAAAAGGTACACCCATTACCTATTCTGTCATGAACAAGGATACGAAAACCCGGTCCACTTCCCACGAGCTTAAAGGTAGACGCTATCGTCGTTATATTTTGGAGCCAACCTCCACTAACAATAGTGTTATAAGCAGGACATTTCATCTTTTAGATGAAGGGGAAGAAAAAATCCAGTTAAGTGAGCGATACAAGAATATAACCTTAATATTAGGGAACACGGGAGCTGGCAAAAGTACTTTCGTTCAGTGGATCGCTGGGGACAATAACAAGTTGATAGCAAAAGAAGTATGGGCGGGAACCGGACAGTACCTCATTGAGGATGGAAATAGAATTGGTAACTCAACTTTAAAATCCAAGACAATTTTCCCTGAATTGGTAGTTCATTCTGTGACGGATACTGCCTTTTACGATTGCCCTGGATTTAGTGATACAAGAAGCAGCAGTATGGAAATAGCTATCACCTACTTCATTAAAAAAGTAGCAGATTATGCTGAGCGTGTTAAATTGATCTTTGTTGTTAATCATTCATCGGTTGAGAAAGGAGTAGACAGACAAGATTTCTTGAAATTAATCAGACATGCTACTGATTTTATTCAAGATATTGATAGATATCGCCGAAGTATAGCTATTATGGTAACAAAAGTTGATAACATTTATAATAAAGTTGGAAGAAATAATTTTCATTTGGTATCAGATGGAGACGTTATAAAAGCTATCGGTAGTTTTTTAGAGGAGGTCCAGCAGGAGCTCGTGGAGCGATTAGGTGGCGTAGGTGTTCCTGATGAACAAAAGATATTTTATACGCAAGCATTAAAGTTTGTGAACACTTTATTAATCAAGGATGGTGAGCAGTTTTTGAGGATAGGCATATTCAGAAGGCCAGATGAGCCAGGCCCTCTGAGTAATATAACTCTCTTACAAGAGGGAAAGAGGCATATAGAAAGGATAGTGAATGAAAACCTTGGGTTCACCGCAACACATGATGATGACTTTGGGTATACCATATCTGATACGTCCAAGGTTGCTGTAGGTGCGCTGGCAGTAGGAATTAACGACAATGTATCCTCTTATCTCCTCACCATCGCTGCCCGCATGCAGGAGCATTACAACCATTCAGTATTAGAGATGCGTAGTAAGCTACTCTCTATGTCTAACATCGCCGCAGCCGTTGACGCAGATCCAGTAGAGGCTGGAATATTTATAGATTCTTTCAATTTGGGATATACCGTCACGACTAACCTAATGGAAGAAGTTGCTAATATAACAACAGACCAGTTGGCTGAAAAGATCAACAAGAGCCTCACTATATTAAGTATAGGTGGCTGTGATGAGGCTATGTTAAGAATAGAACAGCAAGGTAAGTATTTTGCATTCCTGCAGGTTATGAGTGATAGCGCATTAGGTTCTAGGGCTTGGGGTGACTTGTTGCAACCCATTGCTCAGTATCTCTCCAACTCAAGACGTGAAATTCAGAACAATATTAATGATGTCTCAGAAAAAATCAATGTTCAAGTGGAAAATAATATATATAATATTGCCAAAAAAGTTAAGGAATATTACCAAAGTAAAATGCGTTACGTGGTAATTCAGCAATTATCAGATGAAATAAAATTTGGACATGCTTGCATCATGAACATGACAAAAGAAATGGAACAATTAAATACAACCCAAGATTTGGCAAGAAAAATTCCAGAGCTTATATCAGAAGATGGTCCCTTCAAAATCAGCCGTACCATAAACCATATTTCCCGACATGGAAAGTACTTAACGTTCTTACAAATTATAAGCAACAAAACGCTAGATACCTCATCACCATCTCAATTAATAATTCCACTCAATGAAACAGCGACATACCTCAAGGAATCACAAGGTTGGTACGAATTCTTGACTAATTTGTATGAAAAGTTATCTACATATGACGTACAAAAAAATAGAATGAAATACAACGTCGCCCACATTGCGGACTGGGGACAAGAGGGTAAATTACAAGGAATATCAATAACGCACCATAACTTCCGACAATTTATGGAAAAAATTAAAGAATTTCATGTAATAGGATATAATGAAGTAGCAAACATAGCAGCTGATGAATTACGCGTGGAGGAATTGAAACAAGTAGCGAGTCTGACGCTGGACGGCAGATTGCATGCCTTATGCCAATCAAATAAACTCACAATAAAAGGAGGTTACATAAGACTTAGTGAAGTAATAGTGGAAATTGGGAATTGTAAACAAAACAGAACAGAAATATTTGCTTTGAACAAAATTTTTGTCGACGAAAACCTAAATAAAGAAGGGGAAAAGTTCAAACTCGTAATGATAGCCCCGACATGGGAGGTAATAGGTCGTAGAACAATAAACTTGAGTGGGGCTGACGCTCCGCCACATAATCCACGTAAGGCAAGTGACGGCGAGGTGGACGGGAGGCGGGGAGCTGACGGTAGGCCTGGCTTGCCTGGAGGACCAGCTGGCAGTTTCTTTGGCGTAGGCACAACATTCTTAAACGGAAATATGTTGAATATTATGGCTAATGGAGGAAATGGTGGTGATGGTCAGGATGGTGGGAATGGTGGATCCGGCCGCGCAGGTGATTCTCCAATAGAGAGTATAGGACACTATAATGGAAACTATAAATGCGACAAACTCTGCGTTGACGGCCGAGCGGAAGTTTCATTCGACTGTGATTATATATATTTGGTCAAAAAAACGAGCCATAGTAAAACTGCTTTAAATAAAATTATGTTGTATGGCCCTCCTCCGCCCAGACTTAATTATCTATTTAGGTACACTAAGACTATTGCTATTTTTGGCAATAACGGCGAACCTGGTGGAAATGGTGGGGATGGTGGGCGAAATGGATACGGGGGTAAATCGGGAGATGTAAAGTTAATTACGCTGGGTAACGATTTAGGGATATCAAGTATCAATAACAATGGAAGAGAAGGAACAATGGGCAGAGGTGGTGAAGGAGGGGATGGTGGTAGGGATGGATATTCCATATGGCTTAAATGTACTACTATATTCGGCATTTTATCAATATATAGACGCGACTATTTCGAACTATTTAAGAGATTTGAAGAAGATCGCGGATACGCTCAATCTGGAAATAATGGAAGGGTCGGAACAGATGAAGCAAACATCCATAACCCAGAACCTGGGGCCATCATTGATAATAAAACTGAGATTATCAACGATTATAAAAGTTATGCGAGAGAAAACTTACATGTTGCTGTTGGTGGCCGTATTAGGAGACACTATCTAGTGCAATTTTTCCGTGAATTGGATACTAGTAGAGATATTAAACGCATGTATGATGTGTCAGGATTAGTAGGGGAGCATCGAGGCTTAGAGAGGCAGTTTCGTCGCTTACAAAAAAGAGATTCCGTATTTTTTTATCAATCATTATTAGATAGGATTAATGAATATGCAAATAATACGGACGATAACCAAAGATCCTTGGAGCATAATAAGACCCTCGCCTATATGTATACAGCTGTTTTGAGCAAGTTATATGCTTTAAAAAGTGATTCAGATACTACATTGATCATAGATATAAACGGGTACCTTGATATAGTGATGACCGATATCAATAATTTTATTCAATTAAAGGAAAAATATAACATGGTCAACACAATAAATAATTATAAGAATCAATATAAAGCCAATATCGATAAAAAAATTGAGGAATCCAAGCGCTTCATCGAAGAGGAGATTACACCGGCCATTGATCAACTGCACGCGCAAATAGATGATAAAATAGAGCTTCTTCTGGCTGAAATAAAAGAACTGCAAAGAGAGGGTGAAGACAAGAGAGAAGAATTGCGCAAGAAAGAGAAAGAATTAGAGCAGACGGTGGTCCTTAAAGGGTTGTTTAGTTGTTTCAAAATTGTAGAGCAAGCAGCAAGTTTTTTAGGACCTGCAGGAGCGGCGGCAGGTGCGTTCCTTGGAGCCGCAAATTCCGTAACGGAAGCTTTCGTTTTCGGCGATCAGACCGCAGAGCGGCAACCTCTATCATTGCCTGCTGGTGTAACGGCTGACGTAAGGCTTTTGAAAGCTCAAGTTAGAAGGGCCAAGGATATTAAAGTGACGAGAAATAATCGAATATTAGACGACATAGCTCATGAAATCGATCCACATCCATTGTTGAAGGATGTTCGTGAAAGTATAGCAAGAAGCAGGCGTGAGATGATGGAAATCCGCAATCGAGAGGGAGCTCCAGGGCTCGAAGAGCGGTCTGAAGAGCACGTGGCCAAAATTAAGGAAGAACTAAAGGCAAAAGAAATCGAACTAAAGACGGAAAAAAATAATGATAAAGAAGGAGCCGCTGAGGCGCTAGGTGCTATAGATACCGTTGATCGTCTAATTCGTATTAGTGAAGTGAGCTTGGACATTTACAGTAAACACAGAAGTGATCGATCAAATCTTGATACGATGAGTAATGCTGTTCAACAAGCAGAAGAAAATCTACAGAATCTTAAACAATACGAAGGCAAAATCTATAGTACAATAACACCTATATTAAATAACATGGCAAAGGATCTCGAGGAGGTAGAAAATACGTTGGGTACAAAATCTCAGGTGTCACTTGACGTAACCAAATGGCTGGTACAAAGCTCGCTCAGAGACATAAAACTATCCATGCGCCAGTTAACCAAAGGGTTTAAAATAGAAGAAGACTTGGCACGTTGTATTGAAAAGTTGGAAGAATCCATGACCACCTTAATCCATGTATACGATCGCATACAAGACTACCAACAACAACAAAACTTAGCTAACTATATTGCTGCAGTAGCTGCTCCCCATGGTCCTGATAATGATGATCAAAAGGAATTAGAAATACTCATCAGGTCTAACCTTATCCTGACGCAGTACGTAACCGCTGTTGATGCATTGAAGCAGTGGGTGTTTCCGTTCACTGGTCTCTATCTTGAAAAGATTAATTTGCCATCCCATTTGGAGTTTAACTACAGCAACATTGAAGATTCAGCTGCTAAAGTGAAGGAGAAAATAGAACAGATAAAATCGCAAGTACATGAATATATGACAGCTATTCAACATCATGACCGACTTATAAATGTAGGGCTGTTTAATAGCATCCATGTTTCTTCCCATCCGTTTTTCGTATGGAGAAATGAGCACCGCAAAACGGAGGTGCGCAAGCTACTGTCGGGTGAAGCAATATTCCTGAAAGCTGACATAAGAGGCAGTGCACCGGACAAAGATGCCATTAAGTTTAATTTACTTGAACTTAACCTCAAAGTAGCTAATGCAACCCGGCAGATTGAAGTGAACGATGACCTGAAAGGCTTTAAGGTTAGTGCCACCCACTTAGGCAATTCATATTATAGGTATGGGGATAAATTTTATGTTATAATCAGTCCTAGTCAGACCATCGAGTATTCATTTGAAAAAGACGGTAATGGAAAACCAGTGCACAATAATCTGGTATATGATAAAATCAAGAATGGAGATTTTATGCTCAGTCCTTATGCTATGTGGAAATTTCAGTTAATTCAACTAAGCAATTCAACTTTCAATCAACTGTCTATGTATAGAGATGAAATTGACTTAGAATTAGTGGGAAGCGGATTATATGTAACCAAAGGCGCTGACCTGCCGAATCTAAATGTAGGGAAGTTCTATAGAGCAGACGATGCCATGTTGTACCTTGACAGTGATTTGTACGATCAATACTAGGGAAGAAACTAGACGATACATTATCCTTTGATGCTTCACACTTTAGAGCTAAAAAATTATTAAAAGCAAGACCTCAAAATAAGGATTACGAGTAACGACGTGATGTTACACTGCGAAACCTGGTCCGAAACTGCAGTAATGTGATAGTTATTGAAATAAACTGAGTAAATATATGACCAACCGTGCAAGGTAGAGAGTAATCCTGCTGTTAGAGGGCGTGGTAACGGCGTATCCCAACGGAGATTTGGCAAGCTTGACAAGGTCATGATCGGAAGTGTTATTCTAAAAAACTCACTGCGTCAATAAGTAGGACAGTTCTTGACTGGTTTCTTGATGATTTAACAAACTCGCACATGCGCCCGCAGAATGAAACGTCCTGGGCAGACATTTTCTTGGACCGAGTTCTGAGCGAGTAATATGAGGATGAACGGATCAAAATTGGAAATGTTGCAATTATAGCTGCTGATTTTGTCGGTTGTACTTTTTGAATATGGAGGTCAAGTGTTCTACACTGATTAATTGGAGACTGTTATTATCCTTAATGAGATTTTTAGAATGTTTTAATCATAAGTTTTAGACTGTAAGTTTTACGAAGTAATAAGAGGCTAATCGATTATTATAAGTTATTTTAATTGTTCATTATTAAATAAGTGCTCATAAAAAGTATAGTTCAGAATCTACGCTATTAACAGTTGATTAACTATGAATAGTGTTAATAGTTAGCTAACTGTTAACGGCTCGAACTGTTGACTGTTTGAACCGTACTAACGATGTCTTTGTATGCGTCAAGTTTGATCACGGTTTGATAGCGTCTTAATTGGACACAATATGTTTGAAACAGATGAAAGCGCTAGGTGATTATACATTCATTTTATAGTCATGACGTTAATTTTATTCCTTCAAAATAATCTATAATGTTAAAGGAATTTGTGCGATGCTCAGGTTATAGGATCATCAGGTCACCGAGTGGTTACTAGTTCTTGTACAGCCGTTTTCGGCGGGGGGGGGGGGGATTCAATGCATCAGCTTGCTTCAGGTAACCTATTTCAATGAAATATTTATTTTATAAATGTTGTGCAGGGCTTCTGAACAATCAATTATGGCTTAGTATAGATTGGAGTTGGTGAACAATTGTATTATGGTGTGCATGTCATATGTGAAGAGTTTCCGTCACAGACTCACTTGTTTGGTTAAGATTGGTCACGGGGATGAAAAGTTGGGGAAAGTGTGGTACAGTGGGATACGGGGCACAGTGGGACATGTCAGTTATTTTATTTACTAAAAAAGAATATTGAGACGCGTTGCCCTGCCTTACATTCATCAGAGAGCAAAATTTTGTTTTAGGTAAGGTAAAAGTAAGCCAACTAAATATTTTGCTATCTATATTATTTAATGTTATAATACGAACTAAATAAAGACAAGAAAATAAGACATTTTGCGAACTTAAGCTTTCCTGTGTGTTGAATTGCTATCAATAGGTTCAAAATTAATTACATATAATTAAGTTACTTTATTCATTAATATTAAGATGGCGTTGTAGATGTAGGGGGCTAGGTTAATTATAAAGGGTCAACAACATGTATTATCTTGATGTATAGAGTATAGGAAAAGGATGTATTTTAATTAGGATGTAAAAGGTGTGAGATTGCTTTAGAAAGAATCGGAGCTTTGCTGACTTGTCGCACGAACCGATTCATTCGGATTTTGGAGAGCGGACAGTAAGGATCCTTCTATTCTGCCTGTATAAGTCTTGTTCCAGATAGTCTCAACGAACTTTGTAACCTTGCGCATTTTTATATCTGTGTTGTGGTGTTAGTTTTCAAGTATATCTTGACCAGAAAAGACTTTTATTCTTGACAACAGTTCATGCGAACCTGGTAGTCCCCAACATAATGGTACCGTGACTCTTGCACTGTTTTTATGGTGCAAGATATTTAATTAGTAACCTGAGTGTAGACACAAGTGTGATTTTAACAGGTTCACTAAGCTGAATTCTTTCTGTGACAGCGAGTGTCAATGAGACTCACTATCTTGAGACAGAGTCCACGCCCCAGGACTTCCCAATTGTCGGACTCGAAAGGATGACATGACCGCACCGAATTGCCAGATGCATTGTGGGATCGACCGCAATATTTGTTGCAACGTTTAGCTTTCGCCTACGTGTCTAATCTACTGGGCTTGTCTCTTTGTGAAGTTTTTTGCTTGAAGATGGGACGCTACTGCGCCTTTGTTGAATGTACCAGTCGTTCTCACGACTATTTAAACAGAAAAATGAATAATGGAATGCGTTTCTTCAGTTTACAAACCGTGAATGTCGTGTATAGCGTATCAGTTAACGTATCGTACTAATATTATAGTAATATACGTATATTTTCTGGGGGCAAAATCTGTTACTTGCCACTAGATAAGTTACATAAGTAAGAATTGTAGTGACTAGATAATATTATAGTGTATAATCTCCAAGCGGAAAGATATCATAATTTCTTTGAGATTATTAGTTGTTAAGCTGTTCCTTGTCGCATAGTTAATGTCGTAAATACGACGATACTTGTGAACTTCGACCGATAACTTCACAAATAACTAAGATAAATAATCATCGCCAGTATATTATTGCCAATAA